GCCAGCCATCCTTATGAAACATCACCGCAATTTAGTTGCCTTTTGCGAACCCGAACCCGGAACCCAAAGGCACCCCGAACCCGGAACCCAAGCCAAAAATGCCACCCGTCGCCCTGCGAAAAATTTGAATAATTTTTATTACGTGGCGCGTTATGAATTTTTGATGAGTCCTTTTGCAGCACAAAATGCTGTAACTGTTTGTTGTTGTTGGGGGAGGCGTGCAACGGCGGCCAGTTATCCTTCACTAAGCCAAGTGACAGTGCCACAATTTATTAGATTCTCAGCCTCATTGTGGGTCGCTGGCATCTTTTGCCATATTTTTTCTCACTTTTGGTTCCATATCATCGGAGTCTGCGCTGCTGCAAGTTTCCGGAGGAAAAACTGGACGGAGGACAGGTCCTGGTCGTGGTCCTGGAGGTCCTGCCACCGGGGTGAACTGGGCGTGCTGTGTGTAATAAAAGCAAATAAAATATTCTTTAATATGCGACACTCGCCGCAGTCTGCTCGCTGTCATCCGTGTGCTTCCCCTCGCTGCGAAATTTGCATATATATTGCTTGACAAGCATTAATGTATGTAATCCCATAATTTTTTAATTAAATCAAATTGTTTTGCTCTCCGCTTAAGGCTCGTGGGACAGTGAAGGTAATATTTATTCCCTGAGTTTACCTCACAGGTTAATAGGGATTCAAAGGGAAGGTGATTGGTGTTGGGAGAGCTTAAAAAATATATATTCCTTGAATAAATAATTATCGATATATTTATATGACAATTTTTGCGACAAATCAAAGCTTAAAAAACCCATAACTTAGTCAAAAATGCATTAATTTTAATTCGGAAAGCTGTTCTATTTTAGTTTTTATTAGTTTAATAAATCTGCATACAAATTTTTAAAATTTTTTAATAACTAAATTTTTTGTAATTTTCAAACTTCAACTTTTAAAATTTTAACCCTTATATAATTGAAAAAACTTTGACAAAAATAAATTTTGGCTAGACATAGCTAGATCGATTCGGCTTTTGATGCTGATCAAGAATTTATAGGGTCGGAAATGAATCCTTCACTCTGCAAGGATAGAATTAAACTGAATTTTTAAATTAAGAGAAATTATAATATTATATTATTATATATTATATTATAAGTAAATATTCCAGCAGTATATTTCCAAATTCAATCCACAACCGAAACCGCAGAAATTCCCATTGTATTTATAACCAATTTAGAAGCTGTCACAGAACGACATTTCCCCATCCCCTGCAGTTTGGCATCAATCATAATCAGCAGCCAGTGACTAAATGCAACTAAACCGGAATTATACCAATATATGAATGCTTATGAATGTATATGAATGTACATTTGCTATGCAAGTGAAACCATTTTGGGTGAAACAAGTCAGAGAAAAGCCCCCTTCGTCTCTCTCCTCAGTTTTCCGCAGTTCGAAACGATTAAGTGATTTCGTGCACTGTGCATGATAATTGGATTAATATGCGTCGACAGCCAGCAGAACACATACAAGGAGGACGAGGAGGCCAGGGACTAGGATGTGGAGGAGGAGGATGTGTACACCACCACCACCAATACCACGAGAAGAGGCTGAGAGGCGAGGGTGGGTTTTGTGGGTTCTGGGGACTAAGTCTTCTCCGGGAAAGGGAACTCGTTAGGCGGGCAAATTACGAGGAAACTTTGTCTTGGAAAGAGATGTTAGATTAGCTAGGATTTTCAGATTTTTTATAGCTAGAAAAGATGCTATTACTTAATATTTTCTTAAGTAATAATTTCTATATATTTTCACAATATAAATATTTAAAGTAGCTGTTGTAATATATGAGTAATAATAATCCCATACAATGGTAAAAAGCTATATTGTAGTAGATATCTTCAAAACTTTATTGAATTATTTCTTCTTATATTTATAATATATAAATCATCTTAATAAATAAATTACGGAAATTCTCTGTATGCTATAATATATATTGAAACATAATGCTTTAACTATGTCTTCCCTCTTATTTAAAACATTTCAATACATCAAAAGGAATGTCGATTTATTTTTCCTGCATAACTACTGTTTGCATAAAGATATATATTAAATTTAAACTGAAATTTCGTTAAATCTCTCATTATTTATTTTAAAAGTATTTATTAGTTAAGATGCCAAATAAATAAAATTTTAAAAACCGCTTAACACAACAGTTTATATTTGTTTTTCCATATAATTTAGTTATAATAATTTTTCTTAAATTATCAAATTTATTTAGCTAATTCCATAACCCCTTTTTTTTGCCATCTCTGCCACCTTCTCCGCCCCTCCACCCCCTTTTTCTCAGGCTTAAATGCTCTCGTTATCAAAATTACATATATCATAGAGCAAGGGATCAGAGGAATTCAGTGGCACTGAAGGGTGGAACTGATGGGATAAACAGAGCAGCGGGGCTACGGGTGGTTAACACACCCTCATAAGGGGTGTAAGTACCATAAGTCAAATCAATTTCAAAGCAAACACACAGGAGGAGGCTGAAACATATTCTCAGTGCCTTTTGTAATTGGAAAAGTCGGGGATTAAGCGATAAAGTTGTATTCTCAAATTGATAAGGGGATAAGGTGATTAGGGGGGGGGGAGTGAAAGCGTTGGAATTATGACCAGTAACCATGGGTTTTTCCAAGTTCTGTGATTTTTCCCGATTTTTGATCGCTTAAAAAGGCAGCTAAGCAATTTGTCAGGCGAGAAGGGAAGAACTCCGGAGTTGAGGTATGTAAATAGACGGCCCTTGGCCAAACAAGCTGTTGGCCACTTAGCGTTTCATTTACCAAACGCTGCCGCTGCACAAACAAATTAAACCATTTTCGGGTTTCTTTTCCCAGTTTTTGTTGTATTTCGGGCCACAGAAGCCCAAGTGCTTCCGAAGTGCCTCGTAGGTCTCCCAGAAACGGCGGCAAGATCACAACAAAAAATGTATACTAACCATTGTTTGACATCTCCCAAAGTGATGGCGATGGCTTTGATCTCTCAGCTAATTTATAAAATAAATGATATGTGAATTAGCGGTCAACGGCGGGTAACTAAAATCCCTCGTTTGCTTTCCACGCCGATTTCCTTTTGATTAATTTATTTGTTCAACCGCTGCGCTTCATTGCCACCCATTATGGCCACCCATTATTCCCTGCCAGCCCAACGGTGAACGATTTTCACACCTGCATCTCGCAGTCAACGGGTTTGTTTCTCGCTGATTAGTGGATCGCAGGCCTTTGAACTGACCGTCAATATATGTATTATACATGGCTTACCTCTGAATACCATTTTAAATCCGCCCAGCAGGCTTAGCCACTTGTTGTCTAATTGCCACAGCCATCCGTAATGGCACGTCTCCATTTCATTTTGGACATGATCATCGCAATGATGATGACGATGCACTGCTCGAAATATAATTGAGAACGTAAATTAAATATGAATTTGTAAAATTATATATCAGAAAAACAATATCACATTCAATACACTCCCGAATGACTTTAATATATCGAAATTTAAGATCATAAATATGGAAAATTACTATTAATGTATGGATCGAATCGGAAATCGAAAATAACTAAGTTTTAAATATTTGCATTTTTTGAAACAATATTTATTGTTACTTTTATGTGACATATTTTTTGACAAATCAAAGATTAAAAAAATCATAACTAAGCTAATAATGCATTAATTGTATTTCGGAAAGCTATGTTAATTTTTAGTAGATTAATAACTCTGCATACTCAATTTAACAATTAAAAATATCTACATTTTTATCAATTTTTCAGAATTCAAATTTAAAAATATTACCTCTTAAAAAATGTTGTAAATTTTGATAAAATTAAATTTATGTCAAACATATGTAGCTAGATCGACTCGAGTTTTGATGCTGATCAAGAATATACATGCTTTATAGGGACGGAAATAACTCCTGGCAGTGTTATAAGCTTCTGACTCCAAATATAATATCATTCTTTAAACGAATATTTGTCTATATTTTATATGACAGTTTGTTCTACAAATCAAAGCTTAAAAATCTCATAACTAAGCCAAAAATGCATTAATATTAATTCGGAAAGCTGTCCTACGTTAGTTTTTGATAGTTTAATAAATCTGCATACTCGATTTAAAATTTTAATTAAATAAAAATTTTGACAATTTTAAAAATTTTACAGATATATTATTAATGATGATAAAAATGTGAAAAAATTTTGAAATTTTCTTTTCTGCCGGAGATGGCTAGATCGATTCGGCTGTTGATGCTGATAAAGAATATATATGATTTATGGGGTCGGAAATGGTTCCATCACTTTCTTTTAAGCTTTTGACTGAAGGCGCAATTCCATTTTTTAATCGATTTTAACTATATTTTTATATGCAAATTTGTTCGACAAATCAAAGTTTGAAAAACTCGTAACTCAGCGAAAAAAGCATTAATTTTAATTCTGACAACTGTCCTATGTTAGTTTTTAGTAGTTTAATAAATCTGCATAATCAATTTAACATTTAAAAATATTTAAATTTTTACCAATTTTTCAACGTTCAAATTTACAAATTTTAACCCCTAAAAAATGGTGCAAATTTAACATAAATTTAATTTTGCTCAAACCTCGCTAGATCGACTCGGTTGTTGATGCTGATCAAGAATATATATGATTTATAGGGTCGGAAATGACTTCTTCACTTCATATTTAGCTTCTGACTGAAATTATAATACCCTTGCAAGGGTTAGTTTTAGATTTTCTTTCAATTTTCCCCTTAATTCTTATGACATTTTAAATGTTTAACCTTGATGCATTTTAATTGTTTCTTTTCGTTATTTATTTATTATTTATTTCTTATTTTCTGTATGTATGAAATAGTTACAAATTTCAAAAATTGTTATGAATTTGTATAGATTATTCTACTTGAACTTCTATAATTTTTTCAACATTTTTTTTAAAGCATCTGCATCTATATTCTGGTTAGTACATTGTATTTTTCCCAGTGCATTCCTAGGTGATGTCGTCTTCGCCTTCTCCTTCGCCGCTGGCATTGGCCAATATGCTCAATATGTGGCACTGGGTGAAATCATTGGCATCGTCCGGCGAAAGGAAAGTTTCTCTTCGCGCCTCAATGTTAATTTCGGGCTCTTTGAAGCCCGATCGGTGATCGCCTGGTTGGTTTCCTCCTTCCCCGATCTTCGATCTCCACTCCACTCCACTCTGGTGTTTTCGTTTTTATTATGATTTTGTTATGATCATCGCGATCATCATGATCTAATGATTTGTTGTCGCAGCAAACAAAAAGGTTGAGTCCCGCGCTCCGATAATGATCTGGCGCAATAAAATTGAAATGCGTCTGTTAATCGCTCCGAGATACATAATAATTCTGCTCCGCCAGCATCCGAGAGCCGAGCTCCACAAAGAGCTCCACAATGGCCCCCGAAACGATAACCAAAGTTCTGTCGACGGGCCGCCGCCTATCGATCACTTTTGGATTTGCTTTTCGGATTCGGATTTGGATTCTCGTTTACGCAAAAATCACAGCGGCATCGATCGAAGGTGCCTTTGTGTTTTGTTTAAAGTCGAAGTGGGAAGACTCTAACAATAAAAAAAAATTCGAAAATACAAAAAGAAAGTCGTTGGTTAGGTATAAAATAAATGATCGATTTATCGATAACGAATATTGGTAAACCGATAAAACCGATAATCTGTTTGTGATATATAGGATTCGCTTTACACCCCTAGTCACTTTATTTAATATTATTGCGTTTTAATTATTTTTAATAAGAAAATTAAATATATATTTTAATCTATATATTCTCACAGCTTGACTAAAAAATTCCTAAACAATTATTAAAAAATTTTATAATAAAACCCCCTTAAATTATATTTCGTAGTATCTGAAATTCCCCGTTAAGACAAACATGTGTTTAGATTAAAATCTTGAACAGCTTATGCCTGTCGTGTTAATTTTGAAACACATTTTTGTGATAATTCGCAAAATTCTTAAAAAATGAAAATAAAAAACAAAACTCGAATTCAGCAGCAATTAGTCGATCAATTACGAGTCGTTTGTTCGTATCAATGTTCTGATTACGGAGCTGGCTCTCTAGACTCTCGGTTGCCACGTGCTGGCAAAGCTCTGTATATATATTGATTATATATACCTATATATACACCCGTATAGTTCAGAGAGATAAGGCTGGGTGGGCCAGGCCAATGTCCCGCCAGATTGTAGGGCATTGGGTGTAATAAATCTTTGACTGCGCTCGGTCTCCGGGCCAACTAAAAATTCAAATGGCCATTGTTTTTGGTCAGAAAAAAGGGCCACAAACCGCCGACAAATTCGGATCCCCAGACTTGGTCTCCTTCGGGTTTGGGCCTGATAAAAATCGGCGGGCGGCAAGCTGCGATCTCGCTGATCCGATCACTGATCGTCCGGCAATATATATTTATGGCATTGCCCGAAACAAAAATGTCAAGAGCGCGTCTGTGTCTGCTTAGCTAGAAATTAGAGCAATTAGCTTTGACCCGCGGCTGCTCCTCCTGCTGTTGCATCATAAAAAAATAGTTTTTAGAGGGAAAACTAATCAATTGGAGTGCACTGAGGAAAAGATATAAGTAGAATAGTTTAACTTAAATTGATATACAGAAAAGTACTAGTTTTCTTGGTACAATATCAAAGTAATCGTATTATTAGAGTACTTATTATTATTGCAATGCATGGAAGACAAGGAAAGTTCGATAAGTATTACATTCAAGTACAAATTGTTATTATAGATCAACAAAATGTATAAATTATATTTAAGAAGTTTGAAAGCGCAGTAAATTTTTAATTTTCCACCCTATACATATATTATTGATCAGCATCAACAGCTGAATCGATCAAGCCATCTCCCGCAGAAAACTTAGTTTTTCATTTTGTCTAAATTTTAAAAAGGGTTTATCATTAAAATTGTAAAAAAAAATGGTTCAAATTTTAGTTTTTTTAAAATAATTATTTATTAACCTAATAAAAACTATCAAAGAAAAGTTTTCCGATTCGAAATTACAGCATTTTTGCTAAGTTATGATCGATTTAGGATTCGACTCCTTGATCCAATTTTAAGCTGGAAGGGTATACAAATTTTGGCTTCCTCAAAGCTAGCTTCTTTTTTGTTTTTAGTTTTAATTTTTTAAAAGCTAGATGATAAATTCAAAGTATTTTAATTATGGTATTAATTATGTTGTAAGATATAGTTTTAAAAGTAAACTACATATTTGCCTTTAAATATCGATATTTCTAACTGTTTTATTAAGTATATTATATTGATAAAAATAAATAAAAGCATTATATTGTATCAAAAGATTTTTAAAATATTTTTTCTACGACATATTTTTAGTTGAAAACATTTTTTTCAATTTAATAATAATGTGTCATTGCAATATATTAAAAATATATGAATATATGAACCTTTTTCCATACTTTTACTCCTTGTAATACCGAAATCAATTAACCTCTAGGTAACATTTTCTTGCTGTGTAAAAAATAGTTTCTTAAATAGTTGATGACCTTTTTTTTAGTGGACATCGTCTCCGTGTCCGTCTCCCCAGTGGCTACTGTGGGCGTGCCTGGCCCGAGTCTCGGCTTGTAAACAGTTTTCCTATCTGATGATTGTGTAATTTATAGGGTTCCTTGGGCTACCTGTACCGATCTCATCGTAGAGATAGTGCCACATAAATAAGTGTGTGTGTGTGTCTCTTTTTGTGGCATAAATGTCAAAGGGCATTTAATGAAGTTATTAAACGCTGCCGCTGGAGATCAGGGGCTACCGTTTCTAGACGAAGAAGGCGGGATCCTGGTTCGGCGATCATAATCTCAGGATTGGTTTCGACTTCAACTTCGACTTGGACTGGCTTTTCCGCTGCTTTGCATTGCAACCAAGAAAAATAATAATAAAAAAAGGCAGAAAACTGGTTGGGCAATGGCAATAAAACGCTTGCTATAACGAGCAACAAAATTTGTAACGATTCAATTTAAGGCTTGCATACAACATGCGCCGTACGCCGTCGGCAAAAGATGAAATAGTCGGGAATATCTATAGGATATAGTGTATATACTCGAGGCCCGATTTGTGTGTGTGTTTTTGGCGCATGTTTAAAGAGGGGGAGACCGGAGTCGGAATGAAATTTATGAAGACATGACTGGCAATTGTAGTTCCAGCTCCAGACCGAGCTCCAGTCAAAGCCATTGGCTCTCGGGTTCGACGATCTCCTTGGATTCCCCGACGCCTACTTGGCCAACTTGGTCCATTGACCATTGCCATTGCGATTACAACTCAATTGTCAATTGATTTTCCAGCCAATATTTCACAATTAATTAAGCGCAAAATTTTTACAGAGCTCTGACAAAGAGCTACGTCGGTTTGGCGGCAGTCCTTCAAAGGCAGTCTCTTGTCCGAGGACAAGATGCGAACTGATTTCTTTCAGTTTACCTGTTTTCCTTTCTCCTCTTAATTTTGGGTGTGGTCAAAGGTCAAAGGAGCAGGTCCATTGACAGATAGACAGATAGATAGTGTGTCTATGGCCAAGTGTGGGAAAAAGATCAACTGGAAGGAACGCAGAAGGGATTGTCGTTAAATGAGGACATAAAAGAAATTAGCTGGATAGTTTCGGTTTCGGCACAGATATGATACGGGATTTTCGGGGTGGTCTGCCACTAAGGATGTTCTTTAAAACTTTATTGAAAACTATTTAAATAATATTCAGGCTCAATCGAAATTATTTATTGTCTTTTTGGTAGCTGTTTGTTTGAATTTTAGGCAACAGGCGGAGTAGTAGCCCAATCCGGAGTAGTACCAGATACCGTAGTGGTAACCCAACCTCCAGGAGTAGTTGTTCCTGCAGGCAAACTGCCTCCATCGAGGCAATTTTTGAGAGCCTCATAGGAGCTGGTGGTTCCCTCAACGTAATCCCTCTCGGCATTGTTCACACAGATCTCCAGCTGGGTGTCCAGGGTCTGGAGATGGATCTTTAGGTTGCCAGCCGCATCAGTGGCATTGGCCGACACTTGGTACAAGATCTTTGATTCATCAGCAGCCTAGGGACATAATATGTGTTTCAAATAAAGTAATTTTCTTCAAAGTACTATTCCTTACCGCATTGGCAAAGCACTGGAAGGCCTCCACATAGTCCACAATGGAACCGCAGGGCCAGAAGGCTGAGCAGCCTTGATCCGCAGCATCCTGGATATCGTACAGAGTCCGGTTGAAGGTGAGGATCACCTGGTTACTGCCTGTGGTGTGTTCCTGATTGCACTGCCCGTAGTTCTTCTCATACTGATTCGTAATCCCGCTGAGGATCGGGTTGTAGTAGTTGAAGCACTGCTGAGTTTTCTGCGGATCCTGGGCAGCCAGGACCTCTGTCTGCTGCTGCAGGCCAAGGATCTTCTTGTTGGTCGGCAACTTTAACTTAAAGTTGGGGTTCGGTTTCAGGTTTAGGCTAAGATTCAGCTCCAGGCCGGTGGCCAGGCCAAGGGCCAGGAATAGGGCCAACACTATGTGCGGGGAATACATGACTGAGGGCAGAGTTTGGGCTAACAACTGGATGTCGTGGAAGTGGAGAACGTGGCTTTTATATCCAAGAGAAGTAGAGTCTTCTTATCTCCTCTCCTAATTGTTTTGTGTTTGGGGAAGTGCAGAAGCTTCTTAGTATTCTTTAATTGGATTGTTCTTTTGATAATTGCTTAGCAATTATGTAAGATTTTCAGCAGACTTTTAAACCTATTACGCTTGACATGGTGTAATTTCCTCTCCAAACTATTCCACGATCCTCGGATGTTTTCTAATTATAATTATCTCAAACTTTGTTTTTAAATTGCAATAACTGAGAAGAGAAAGAGCACTTTCTCGACCTAACTATCTTCGGCATAAGAATTTTATTTCGAATGTTAATAATTTTGGTAATTTTATACTCAATTAAGTTATTTCAAAAATTTATAAATATTCAAATTAAATATTATTCCTTAAGAACCATAATTAAGAAATAAAAGAATATGACTATGTTTTGATAAGGATGAGACATTATTTTCTATATATTCAATTTATATGAATTAAAATTAAATATTTTTTCTTAATAACCACAAATTATAGATTAAAGAATATGACTATATTTCGATAAGGTATCAATATGTGATGTGAATTTTTTTATATTCATGAATATTTTAACTTAAAGATTTACATATGCGCAATAATATTCTGATTTTCTGTTTAAAAAAGCTGACAAATAGTTTATATACAATTTTTCGCGTATTATTTTCAAAAACTCTGTTACTTTGGTATATTTTTTTAATTTCAAAGTTTATGAAATCAATATGATATTAATTACTTGTATTATTATTATTGTATTATTTCTCTCCTATAATCTGGCGATTATATTTTCATATTAGGCAATAATTATAATGATTTTGAATATGATTTTAAGCTATAGAACCCTAAAATCATATCGATCGATATAGTCTAACGAATTTTAAATAAAACATTATATAGTTCGGATTATAGTTTCTTACTTTACAGTTATTTGTGATGTTATAAAGGTCCCTTGATGATATCATATACTTGCCATATAAATAAGATCTTAAACTTGAACCTCTTTCCCTTCTTGATTTTGTAAAGGATGTTCCAATTAATTGTTGTCCCAAAAGTTACTTTCCATAAACTTTAAACATAATAATTTTTAAAAACATTTTAAACTCAATTAATTGGCCTGATTATTTTATTATTGTTTAAAATCTTAAATTATTTGCTGCATTTTAACTTTTCTCTATCTCAAATTTAGCTTCTCGTGGTGTAATAATCATCTGGGATGGACGCAGGTGGGGGATTAGGGATTCCAGTGGTTGTATATGGAGCTTCTGGTGTGGGAACGGGAACTGGCTGTTTACCCTTGAGGCAGGCGTTCAGCTGCTCATAGGTGGTAGTCGTGTCCTGGACATAGTTCCTCTCCGCATCGTTCACGCAAATGTCCCGCTGAGTGCCCACGATGCGGTATTCCTCCTGGATCTTGACGCTGTTCTCCGTGGCATTGTTCGAGATGCTGTACAAGATCTTGGCGTTCTCCGCAGAGACTTCGGCGGCGCACTGAACCCGCTGGACCAGAGTTAGCAATTCGGTCTCCTCCTCTGCCACCCAGACCTTGCAGCAGGCATCGCACGTCATTTGGGTGGTTCCCATGATGTCACTCCGCACGGGATCGTACTTGGACTTGATTTCACCCGAGGACTTGTCGTAGGCCGAGACACATGCTCCGTAGTTCGTCTCGTACTCCGTGGCCACGCTGTCCAGGATGGGCTTGTAGACGTAGAAGCAAGCGGAGGAGACGTCTCCATGGGTGGCTGCCAGCTCCCTGCTCTCCGACTGCAGCTCCGCAATGTGGGCATTGGGTTTGATCGTGAAGTGCAGCTTGGGTACCTTGGGCACCTTGGTGGCCATGGTGGTGACCAGACAGAATAGATGGAGCATCAGGACTGAGGACTGTTTCCGGAACATCTTTGGGAGAGAACTTGTCCGGAATAGATATCGGGAGACGTATTTATACGCCTCCGCAGCTTTTTATCTTTTTAATTACACTTTTTAGCTGTTATACAGAGGCCTCAATTAACTCGAAAGATAAAAGAAGGTGTTAACTATGGTATATCACTTACTGTTTTGATTAGAACTATTAAGCGTGTGCCTCTTAAGTATCATTGAAAAGTCTGTATCGGTTTCGCACCCCTTTTCAATTAATAATATTTATATTTAATATACAAAACTAACTGCCATAAATGATCGTGTGCACAGTTATTTCGACTTCTATATTTCACAAGACGCTAACGGTGGTGGGATAGTCCCATTCAGGATCGGCAAGGCATCCGTTCATCTCCTCCAAGGACTGGGCATGGTTCGCCTTGTAGTTCCTCTGGGCCGTCAGCTGGCAATCGGAGAGCGTCTTCTTGATGCTTCTCACCTCCTCCAGAAGGCTGGCCTGATGGTCGGCGGCCTTGTCGGAGACATCATCCAGATCCTTGGAGCTGGAAGGACCCTGCAATCGGTTAAGGATATGGTTTGTAAGAACTTTTCAGTAATAAATGTATTTGAACATCTTATAGAACTATTATAGATGTTATTTGAAGCACTTTAACCTTATTTATTATTCGAATATTTTCCCAAACTCTCACCTTATCGGCCAGACACTCGAAGGCCTTAGAATTGGTGGTATCGCCGTCGCAGAGCAGCATGGATCCGCAGGAGGCGCGGACGGAGTCCCTGAGCTCGTCGCGGGCGTAGGTGTAGCTTCCGTCGATCAGGACGAAGGCGTTGTCGTAGGTGTCCTGGCAGAACACAAAGTCCGCGTCCAGCTGGTCGGCGTGACCCTTGATCACTGGGAGGTAGTAGTCGAAGCAGCCCGCGTTGAAGGTCTCCCCGGAGCGCAGGACGGGGGAGTGGAGCAGGAAGTCGGTCAGCGTGGTCTCCACGGTGATCTCGAAGGTGGGGGGCACCGCGGAACCCAAGGCGGCTCCAATGAGCAGGAAGATGGTAAGGCTTTTGAACAACATTTTAACTTTTGCGAGGTAGAGGAGCAACTGGGTGATAATGTGGAGCATAGAGGTTTTTATACGGTAAGTGCTTGGTAGTCCACTCGTAATCAGACTCTTTAGATTTATGATCCCATAATTATCGGAGGTAGTACGTATTCACTCATCCTTATCGTGTAGAAATATCAGCGAAGCCCCCGAAAATCTGTTTGGCTTATTTCTATCTAAGAACTTCGCATATTTCTTTCATTGATATTAGGTTTTGGTGGCTCTTCAATTGCATTATAGCAAAGACGATCAATACAAATATTTCTAAAATAAAGGATTTGATCTGGCTTATAAGCTTATAGTTTTTTTGTTTATGTTTATTGAAAGTCAATCATTTAAATTTAAGTACAAAAAATTGCATTACAAATTTTGTAATTACATTATATATAAATTTTTTTGGCTCAATGTTTAGTAACTATATAACAAACTTCGTGAAAGTCATAAAATTTAAATCTACCAACATTCGGGAATCTAAACAATTAGAAAATCATTTCTCATGAAATTTATTTTTAAATTACTCAATCATAAGTCAAAGGTCCACCTCCAAATGTGATAAAAGTAATTTCCCCAATTAAAAGGGGAATTTCCTCAATAACGATATGAGTTTTGTTTATGAGCTTCCGTTTTCATTTATAGCCACAGTTCGAAGAATTTCGCTTAAATTTTTGATATTTGAAAGCGGTTGGTCTTCCTGAGTCATTAAAAATAGGAAAAAAATAAATTGGCTCTTAATTTAATATAATATTTATGATTTATGGTATTAATGATCTTTAGTAGGATGTAGCTGAAGCAACCCCGGTAATAGATAGGACTTTCCCAACTAAAATAAACTAAACAAATATAACAAAATTGTAAATATTGCATAATATTAACATTTATTTAAGTGAAAGTTTTTAATAGCAAGTTATCTAAGTTCTTTGAATTCTATTTGCCTTCATAGATAATGATTTTTACGACATTCATTGATAAAAGCGACTAAATAATAACTACCCTTGATAATGAGTTTATGATTTATGATCTCGATTTCGAACTATATAAAATATTTCTCAAGTTACTACTTTCCTTTCAGTGAGTAATTGATCTAGCTATTATTAGACTTATGGGGTTTTCTATTCTAGAAAGAAAGCCCCTTCCTTGATTATTTTTAATCCCTTAATTTATTTACGTTCACTTAAACACTCAAATAGAATAACATTATACTGATAAGCCAGATAAGTGAAAAATTTCCATGGATAAGAAATATTTATTATTGTTTGACCTATATAATTGACGTCGGTGTAGTTTCTTATAGATAATATTTATATTACCATTATATTTTTGAGATCCTTCTGATAACACATTAAGAAATAACTAAGCAAATCTTTGCCATTTTCGGGGGTTTCGCTTATACTGTTTAAGGAGACCTGCCCGACTCAGCGTCATATTAATACCTAGTGAATAAGTACTTCCTCCGATAATTATGGGATCATAAATCTAAAGAGTCTGATTACGAGTGGACTACCAAGCACTTGCCGTATAAAAACCTCTAGGCTTCACATTTTCACGCAGTTGCTTCTCTACCTCGCAGAAGTTAAAATGTTGTTCAAAACTCTTACCATCTTCCTGCTCATTGGAGTTGCATTTGGTTCCGCGGTACCCCCACCTTCGAGATCACCGAGGAGACCACGCTGACCGACTTCCTGCTCCACTCCCCCGTCCTGCGCTCCGGGGAGACATTCAACGCGGGCTGCTTCGACTATTACCTTCCCGTGATCAAGGGTCACGCCGACCAGTTGGATGCGGACTTTGTGTTCTGCCAGGACACCTACGACAACGCCTTCGTCCTGATCGACGGAAGCTACACCTACGCCCGCGACGAGCTCAGGGACTCCGTCCGCGCCTCCTGCGGATCCATGCTGCTCTGTGACGGCGATACCACCAATTCTAAGGCCTTCGAGTGCCTGGCCGATAAGGTGAGAGTTTGGGAAAATATTATAATAATAAATAAGGTTAAAGTGCTTAAAATAACATCTAAATTAGTTTTTTAGAATGTTCAAATACGTTTACTTCTGAAAAGTTCTTACAAACCATATCCTTAACCGATTGCAGGGTCCTTCCAGCTCCAAGGATCTGGATGATGTCTCCGACAAGGCCGCCGACCACCAGACCAGCCTCCTGGAGGAGGTGGGAAGCATCAAGAAGACGCTCTCCGATTGCCAGCTGACGGCCCAGAGGAACTACAAGGCGAACCATGCCCAGTCCTTGGAGGAGATGAACGGATGCCTTGCTGATCCTGAATGGGACTATCCCACCACCGTTAGCGTCTTGTGAAATTTAGAAGACGAGATAGCTGTGCACTCGCTCTTCTATCGCAGTTAATAAACATTGAAATGAATACCAACTCTTTGTAGTTTATTATTTTTTTTATTTCGCCAATACGAAGGTTTTAATTAATTTTTGGATTAATATTTTTATTGATATTATTTTATCTATAATAATTATTAAATAATATAATTAAATGATTTACATGTCGTGTAATTTGTAATTTCTGAAACATAAAATCGAATGCTATTTATTTAACCAATACTTTATATAAACTATATATATATTCTATATATATATTCTATTCTATATATTCTATTCTATTCTATTCTATATATCAAATTTGATGAAAATCTGTTGAAAACAGCAAAAGATAACTTTTTTACTTAAAATTTTCCGATTGTTCCGATGGCAACTATATATACATATATATGTACATATATAGTCCACCGATTCGCCATGCTCTGACTTATATACTAGTAAAATTATATAGACAAATAACTACATAGTTTCATTCAAATAGCTTGCTTTAAATTTGACAAAAACAAATCTTGCACATCGGTGGATGTGCATACGATTCTCAACTGGTTCTAACATCCCCGGAACGAGGTGTCTTCTGCCGGCCAAGTCTCAAAAATGTGTTGTGTTATAAAAGTTGCAAGTCATTGTTTATTAGTGTTCAAAGTAAGTAACTGATCATACACATTACTGATCATAGGTACTTACATACTGATTGTTGTTTTTGTGTTTTCACTCAAAACATGTTTTTGACATGTATTATACTTAATGTTACATTAAATGTATATGTGGCGCCACTGCTTTAAAATTGTCGGTAAAAGGTCAGTGGTATATTTTAGTATGTATTGGTTAGTATTTTTTACGTTATTCTATTGGCACACTCAAAATAATAAACATATGTTTTGCATTGCTATAATACTACTAAATTAAACGATATACAAATATTCCTAACCAGTTTGGGTAGATTTGAAGCTTTGTAATCGTAAAAATTTAAAAGAAATTGTAAATTTTCAATTATAACAACTATAACCATAAACAGGAGTGATTGGTTTTGACTTGGTGGAGAAATTAAACTTTCAATCGGCAATTTAGTATGTTGCTTCTTATCTACATATATATAAATTTATCCCTACATAAAAATATGAAATATTCAACAATTATTGCAAACTAAAAGTTTTCCGGCGCTTATATTAACTTTAGCGAGTTTTACTATTCCGTTCGTCCGCTTATTTATTCTTGAGGTATCGATGTTTAAAAGTTTTAATCGATATATCATACAATTTAATATTATCGATAGTATCGATTGTGACCTCGATGTTTTTACAGTTCTACTTCCAGCTCTAGTGCGTCACTTTGTTAATCAAAATATTAGAAAAAATAAAATTTAGGCTTTGCATTTGCAGCAAGTGGTCTGCAAAGAGTGTAAATTGACGCTTAATTCATCCGGTATTCGGGAGGTGTAAAAACGGCGATGCGAAAAACGGTGACACGCGGAGTTTTTTGTTCTTAAATTTTCGTACTTACGGCAGCCACTCGCATACACACATATACACGCGGGCGCACACACAATCGCAGCTCATCCACAGGCACGAAAACGAACGGAGAGGCGGCTGTGAAGCAGAGCGAAGAAGGAAAGCAAAGAAGTAGAACGAGTGGAGAGAAGGAGGCGGCAGAAGGCGAAGAAGACCATCAACTTAAAATTTGCGAGGTGAAAATAACGAGAGCGAAGGTTTCCCCAACAGCGCCAACAGTTCATAAATCGCGCGCGACGAGTGTGTGTTTTCATTAACAATTTCGGTTTTTCGGGGCCATGCCTGTTTTCCCCCTCCCCCTCACCTGCTTCGGCACATTCTGAAAATGGGACTGCCAACTGCTGGTGTTATTGGGAGCGAGCGCGAAGCAGCGGAGAAACTCTGAAATTCTGGATGCTGCCGCGCTTTTTGAACCCATTTCTCTCTGTTTACCTATCCCTATCTCTTACCTTTCCTAAACGTTTCTTTTATTCTACCACTCGAAAAGTCCATATGAATAATAACGCTAAATTTAGGAATTTATATAAATAATAAGGAAGGACGAAGGCGGCTCGCGCGCGTCCTTGATAAATCGATGTGCAAAAGGGAAAGTGAACGAAGGGAAGGAGACTAAAAAACACCAACAAGTAGCGGCGGCAAAGGAGGTGGAAAAGCGTGGGCGGCCAATGGAGCTGCCTTGAGAATTTCCATTTACTTGTCGTTGCTTTTTGTTGTTGTTAGTGTTATTGTTATTGTTATTGTGGTGTCCTTGCTTAAAAAAATATGTCTCAAAAGTTTGAAGAAGGGAAGCCGCACCGAAATCATTATGAATTATTCAATACAAACACGGATTTACTCACGAATTCCCAAGCTAATATAGAATTAAAGTTTAAAATTGTAATCTATTATTGAAACGAGAAACTAAGAGGTGTCAGTTGGGAAGAAATCATTATTTATGTTTTAAATATTTCAAAACATACAAATTCCGATTTCTTAGCCGCTTTTTAAACAAGTCTTGGTAGTTTACAATACCAGATGAATTGATTTAGAAAATATAAGGTTGATCCGAAATAAGATTTCGTCAACAAACAGTATTTCTAGTTTGTACATAGTTTACCTTTGAGGCAAGAGCTTCCCCTTACCAGAATCCACTCCCTGAGAATTCCCAAAACAAAATAAACACTATAAAATGGTTAAAGCCCAAAGGAATAGTAAACAAATATTTCATGAATGCTTGAAATCCGAATAATATGACTCAACTCCCATCGCTCTTTGTTCAATGCCGAGACCCTGACACTTGAGTGTTTGTTGGGGAGTAAAACCCATTCCGGAGAAGCCTTTAAAGTATTGAATTGACGTAAACCTTTTCTTTTCATTATTTTTGTAGGGATCGTGAGTGAGAGTAGCGAAGCAATATCGAATATATATTTGCTTTATTAACTGAAAACTATTATTACTTCCAAGTCCTTGAGTAAATAATCGTTAGATGTTGTCTAGGCCTTCGTTTTGTGACTTCCCAGGGTTTGTTTGTTTCTCAGACACACCAAGTTCAAGTTCAAGGCCCCAAAAACTAGGCACAAGTGTTTGTTTATTGATTTGCCAGTCGATTAATTGAATACTCCCCACTCTCTCTCTAGGCTCCTTGGGACACAGGCGAGTCTACTTGGCGCAGCGAACGAATTACACCCGCCCGGCACACAGCACACAGCATGTTCAGTAGACATGGGCGGATTCCTGGATAAGCCGAAAACCGCCAAGCACAATGACCAGGGCGAGGGCAATAAGCTGCTCTTCGGCGTCAGCTCGATGCAGGGCTGGCGCTGTGAGATGGAGGATGCCTATTATGCGCGCGCCGGTCTCGGAGATTCGCTCCAGGATTGGAGCTTCTTCGCTGTATTCGACGGCCATGCCGGCTGCAAGGTGTCCGAGCATTGTGCTAAGCATCTGCTGGACAGCATCGTTAGCACCGAGGAGTTCATTAGCGGCGATCACGTGAAGGGCATACGCACGGGCTTCCTGCGCATTGATGAGGTGATGCGAGATTTGCCAGAGTTCACAAAGGATCAAGAGAAATGCGGCGGCACCACAGCCGTCTGCGCCTTTGTCAGTCCCACCCAAGTGTATATCGCCAATTGCGGGGATTCCCGTGCCGTTCTCTGTCGCCAAGGAGTTCCGGTCTTCGCCACGCAGGACCACAAGCCCATTCTGCCTGAGGAAAAGGAGCGCATTCACAATGCCGGTGGCAGTGTTATGATCAAGCGGGTGAACGGCACGCTGGCCGTCTCGAGAGCTTTGGGCGATTACGACTTTAAGAACGTCAAGGAGAAGGGCCAGTGCGAGCAGCTGGTATCCCCGGAACCGGAGATCTTCTGCCAGAGCCGCCAGGATAGCGATGAGTTTCTGGTCCTCGCCTGTGATGGCATCTGGGATGTAATGACCAACGAGGATGTGTGCAGCTTCATTCATTCGCGAATGCGTGTGACCAGTGACCTGGTGAGCATTGCCAATCAGGTCGTGGACACTTGTTTGCACAAGGTGAGTGTGGGAGTGTGGTGGGGTTCCCATTAATCCTATACAGAATTTAATGCTTTAATACGTTTATGCGAACACAGGGCAGTCGGGATAACATGAGCATCATCATCATCGCCTTCCCCGGAGCACCGAAGCCTACAGAGGAGGCGATAGAGGCTGAACATCGGTTGGAGAAGCAAATCGAGAAGATCACAAGAGGTTGTCTAAGTCGTCTACTCTGTTTATAACTAATCGTTAAACGGTTGATCCTTTGTCTCCTCCGTGTCTCTAAATATCGAACCGAAAATACGTATATACATTGTACCTTTGAGGACCACCCGAGTCCTCGCTGCAGGGTCATATCTAACCCAAGTCCCGTCTAGAGTTGTAGTATAGAATAGCTAGATTCCCGAGAAGATGCATAGTTCCTTCCATAAAGTAGTTCCAAAACAAGTAACGAAACGAAAACCAAATCATTGCCATTACCAATCAATGCCAAGAATGAAGTCTCTTCCTACACACACACACCCACTTGACAGTACAGTAGAAACTCTTTGGGATGGATGAAGTATACTAAAACAAGCAATAGGGTACATTTTGAAATTTAAACATTCGAAATAACCCAGAAACTAGTTTAAATATGAATTATTTTCATAAAAATAAGTTCATTATATTAGTGACCTGGAAAAAGATGAATTTCTAGAGTATTTAAAGAATAGAAAAGTAGCAACAAAGAAGGAAGGAATCTCCCAAAGAGAGCTTTCACTGTATGAATACGTTAAGGTGGGCGTGTGTGTTTGGGGGGTAATACTACCAATATCCTATCGCTAATGCATAGCAAATATAACTGAATGTAGCGTGTTAGTTTGTCATATCTGTGCTGGCTGTGCGTGAGAGAGTGTAGCTCCGTGTGTGTGTGTGTGTGCGTGCCTGAGTTATATAGTATTATTGATACACTGCCAAAAAACGCGTTACCATTTAGATTTAGTCTTACAAATATACACATACAGATATTTATAATTACTAATGAGAAAACCTCCTGCCCTGAGCCAACTCAGCCAGCTTGTATATATATAAATTCGTATCAATCAAAAGAAATTTGCAATACTCAACAAACACTCGAAACAAAACACTCGGAATTGATGTAAACTAAAGGTAGAATTATCTGATAATTATCAGATTGCGGATAATACTAGTATCTTCAGAGAAGATTCGTTTGTAGATAGATTTGTAAATCAATGAAGCAGGAAATCAACAAAGAAAAGCATATATTTTATTAAATTGCAAGAAGTATTACCTGGATTTATGTGTATAAAGCAATACATACTCAAGATCTTCGTATACAAAGCAATAAAGGCACTAGGGATCTCCAAGGAGGTGGAATCTCCAGTAGACTTCAGTATTTTGAAACACCAAAGTGGATTTTTGTCAGACGTGACCTTGTTGATATATAGACAAAATACTTTAAACTCGATTAGTAAAGTAGAGCATGCATTGCCCTTGCCCACCACAAGTAGGTCACAGTAGCTAAAAAATTAAACAATTAACGAGTTTACTTAGCCCTTAAGCCTAGCTAAATAATTAACCCATGATGACAAATACTCGAAATGTCCAGACGAAACTACTTAGCTTAGAATAGAATGGTCTAGCCAAAGAGGGTTTTGAATGTGTTATGTATGTATTACGTAGGTTAAAACAAAAAAAGAATATAATATTGTAAACCTTATGCTCACCAACAAATGTTGTGCTTGTTGTTAACGAAAGGCAAACACGATTTACTTTACGCAAAACGATCACGCAATCTAAGCAATATTCCCCTGATATATTTATATATACATTTGTACCAGAGCTCGTGAATAAGGGTTTGATCTTCGATAGAGTGCTCTCTCAGATGAACACCTTGTGGTACACTCTTTTAATAACATCATATATAGAGAAAGACCTTAATTATTACTTAACGGGAGTGATTAATACTTCAACTGTTATTTGCGAGCTCTGATTTGTACATCAAGTGAACTTTTGGAGCCAAGAATGTGTAATTGTCACATAATACACGACACACAGATGAAAACCGAGTCGAAAAATATAAGATCTTGAACGAAAGATTCGCCAAAAAAGCCAAAAGTGTTTTGTCTGCTGTTCTATTTGATTCCAGTTCTATCAGTTTCCCATTCGCTTTGCCTTTTTATTTTTCTTAATCACACATTTCCCCAAGAACGATCATTTTATACAAGACATGTATCATATCCTTTTCGGTTAACTTATACTCTATTTTGTACCATTTTATTGAGTTCCCAAAGAGCCTAGTTCGAAAATAAAAGAGACGTTTTAGCCATCCGCTGTCGTTGTTCGGGCGCCTCGACTTCTTCAAGATTCCAATTTTCAAAACACAATATTTTTGCCGAAATGCGCGAGTCAATTGAAAGAAACAGAAACAGAAAGCAAATACAAATTTAAGATGTGAGTGAGCATAAGGTACGTCTATAATTTTGTAGTTTTGTAACTTTCCAAAAGTCACACTTTGTCATTATTTCTGTTATCGTTTATCTTATCGGTTGATTTGGTTTTTGATTTTGATTTGTTTTTTTTTTACCCCCGACCCCGCCCGCAATGATTTTGTTATCTGTTAAACGAAAGTTATATTGTGCAAAGAGATCCACACACAATCCAAAAAATCCAATAGATTATCGAAAGTGCATGATGTCCCCCGCCTTTATTCACGGCAACGAGTTTTAAGTCTTTACCACTTGGAATCACATTGAAATGTTTTCTGTAAATTGTTTAAAAATTTGAATATTCGAAATAAGGATTGATAAAAATTTCTATATATTGAGACTGATATGAAAGTCGATATATAAATTGATGTTTAAAATATGTCGATAATATCTCTCGATATATTTTTGATATGATATCGGAGTTTTCCTTGAGATGAACATACCTTTTTCGAAGTCTTTGCTAATTTTTTATTTGAATTTTGTTTTATTTGAATAAGGGTATAAAAGTACAAGCTTTTTTGAAGCCTTTTATATATTAATTTGTTAAAAATATTTATTATTCGTCTCAAATATGTATTTATCAAAATATTTTGTTCTATTTTAATCATTATTAATAATATTTAAATGGACTCTAAAAGCTTTTAATATGCATATTCTGCTAAACATGAACCTATGGTTTCGATTTAAAAACAAGAAGCTTGAGATGGCCACACAAATTATCGTTTTTTTTGTTAATATTAAACAATATGAAGCGTTTTTCTCATCTATCTATATATATATATAAATATTGCATTGCTTTTGAAGTAGCTTAACTATGTAATCCAAATTTGTATTTTTGTATTATCAACCATTTATTGTATATAACTCCATTTATTTTACAAGTCTCGTAAGCTAAGAACTGATGCTATTCTAGAATTCGATTTGTTATAACCTTTTGTGTCTCTCCCATCTTGTTTGCAGACGAGATAGAGTCTAGCAAGGTGACTGACTATGTGGATCTGTTGAAGTGTCTGCAGAACAGAGACGACATCGAGGGTCTTCCACCGGGTGGCGGCCTGCAGTCCAAGTATCACGTTATCGAGCGCACATTCAAGCAGGAGTTTCCGGATCGACCATGTGAAGTAAGAAATATTTTTTATAATCTATAATCGGTCTCGAACAGCTGCGCTTTTAACACACACACATTATTATTATTATCGCTTTTTGCTATCATTATTATTAATAGCCTTTTGAGTTTTGCTTCTTAGTTAATACTATATGGTTCAATCGGCAATAGAATCAGGTGAAAGATATTTTTTGGTTATAACTTAAGCTAGCAGTCCCATTCGAAACACGTCGTCATTAATCACTGTCGTCACCTACGCAACATTTAACCTTTGGCTACCTTGTTTATTCTCTTCTTTATTTCTAGCTGTATGCATATGATGATATATGAGTTTTGTATTTGCTAACTGTTCATTTTTAAAACCAAACAAACAACCAACCAACCAACCAACAAACCAACCAACCAACCAACAAGAGAGCAAAAGTTAATTTAAAACCATCCTCCTCTGCTTCACATAATGCTAAATGTAAGGCGAAAAATCAAATCATGCTGCCTGCCTCTTCACTCCATCGATGTCCATTCATTCTGTTTCTATTCTGTTCGCATAGTTTCTTGTGTTTATTGTCTTTGATTTTCAAGATGCATGTCTGCACGTTTTACTATCATCTGTTCTTCTACCAACTGTATCTGTATCTTCTGCTCCATCCGCTGTGTGCGAGAGTGTCTAACTTTACTGCCGCCCCCATCATTGTTTATAATTGTTTGCTCTTTGTTATATATCTTGCAGAGTCCAACGCATTAGGTTCGCAGTCGAAAAAAGAAACACAAACAAAACAATACAAACCAGTTAAAGAAAGCAGAAGAGCCACACGCAACATGAACGAAGGAAACAAACTAAAAATAACAAGAAAGAACACACACCAAACAGTTTTCTACTTTGATAAAAACACAAAAGAAAAAACCTACTAAATAATGATAATAACAAATAAGCATTACAATACATTTCTAGTTTGTACGAAGCCTCAAGTCCTAAAACTCAATATACAAACAGACGCCACAACAACAACAACCAACAACTCACCACCAGAACACCACAGTACACCACAATACACCACAGTACACCACAATACACCACAGTACACCACAATACACCACAACTCTAAGATTAATAAAGGAGAGATCCAGAACAGAGCCGTACCTTTGTAAGCACAGAACTCAGAGAACCAGAACTGGAATTGAAATTAAAGTTGGAATTGGCTCAAAGCCAGCAGCAGCACCACCACCACACCCATCAGATGATTACTGCAACACTGATCGAAGGTCCAAAATGGACCGAAACCATCGTCTAACCATGTAAATGTCCTACCTAACCCTCTGTGTGCACCATTCGTTCCGTCATCTCCTCATCGATCATACAGAAAACTCTTCTCTTGACAACGTGAAGAGCGCGACACCAATATTTGGAAAGCAAAACGATTTTTCGCGATTTTCGTGTGTTTGATGAACTTTAATTTAATATTATTTCAAAATATAAAACTGTATTAACTATATTGATTCCGAAACCAAGCGGAAGCGGAAGCAGATTTCCTTGTAAGTTTGTAAAATGTTTGTTACCCCGAAGAAGAAGCACACTTTTGTTCACCTTTTTTGTACATGTGTGTGAGAGATGGAGTGCGAAACTTAATAATTGTAAAGTAAACAAAAAATGTTAAAAACAAAACAAAGTAAAAGAATGCAAGAAAAGAAAGAAAAAAAAATGGGAAAAGAAAAACCAAACAAGAACCTGTAACTATCTACGAAGAGAGAAAGTAATACCTAAAGAAAGCCTAAAGTAAGCAAAGCAAATCCACAATAATGTCCGAGATCTTAAAGAAACGAGAAATGAAAAGCTAAAAACTATTAATTTATAAGAGCCAGCAAAGCAAGTTGATGATGGTGATGAAAAATCTTAAGAGAGAAAAGCAAAATTACGCTCGAGTTTGTAGTAAATGTTGATAAAAAAATATAAAAAAAAAAAAACCAAGAAAAACATCGCCTTTAATTATCGTCGTTCAGCTGAACCGTATACCAATCGTATCACCTCCAAAAGCGACAGGTATTGTCCTTGGAAGCGGTGAGGATAGCATCTCCCGTGTAGCTATAGGCGCAGCTAAAGACCTCGCCCTCATGCCCGGCCAGGACCTGCGAGCACTGTCCAGTGTCCGTGAGCCACAGCCGCGAGGTATTGTCCGCCGATGCAGTGAGCAACATGCAGCCGCTGGGACTGAAGCACACCTTGGACACCTCATCCGTGTGGCCAGCCATCAGGGAGAGCATCTCCATCTGCTCCGAGGATCCTTCAACGTTCCACACCCTCGCCGTGCAATCGCTGCTGCAGGTGGCCAAGAGTCTGCCTGCCGCATCGAAGCTAACGTCCAGGACCTCGTCACTGTGCTTGGCAGCCAGCTGGAGTTCCTGATCCAACCTCCGTATGTCCCAGATCCGAGCTGTGTAATCCAGGGAGCCAGTGGCTATCAGAGAGCCACTAAAGTTCCACACGCAGTTCGAGAGTTCGGCACTGTGGCCCCGCAACTGATGAGCAAGGCTGCGGATAAAGATTCTCTTGAGCCTCAACTGCTGAATAGAGTTCCAAGCTGCACTCACCTCTTGCTCCTCACATCCCATATAGCTGCCGTGTGATCGAAGGATCCTGTGAGCAGCATCTGACCATCGCGATTGTATCGGGCAGCTATTACCTCGGCTCCATGATGGGTCAGTGTCTGCAGTTCCTGGGCCGTTTCCACGTCGTAAATGCGTGCTGTTCCGTCCATGGAGGCGGTGGCTATGGCATTGGTGTGCAACGGATGAAATTCGGCAGCCACCAGCTCGGCGGTGTGTCCGTAGAAAGTGCACAGGTTCTGGCCACTGCTGGCGGACCAAACTTTGGCAGTGCCATCAAAGGAGCCGGTTATGATTTTATCGCTGTGAATGATGAGAGGAATTATTTGAAGATCGTTTCCACTTTGTTCTCCTCGCAGGATGGTTCTCAGCTGAGTTATTCTTGACATTCTTTTAATAAAACAAAAGGTCGTGAAATGTTTTCAACTGATTTTGATAATAATTGATGGTTTCACTTCTCTTTTACAGCGAATGACTAGGAACTTAGGAGAGAGGAACTGGAACTGAAAGGATTCTTTGTTCCTGATAAGTTTAGTTGCTAAACTCACCAGTGCGGTTGATTGAAGCCCACAGAGAAGACCACATTGTCGTGTCCTGTGAGAATGTGCTCCACCTCTGCCTCTTGGGTGTTGATCACATGACAGGTGCGGTCATAGCTCCCAGTGAGGCAGCGTTCGCCACTCCGATCGAAGCACACATTGGTCAGCGGCAGGATGTGTGAATTGTGGCATTTGTGTAGATAGAATTTCTTTTTCACAGGCTCGCGCAGTTTTCTTTGCAGTTTTTCCAGAGCCTGTTTCAAGGCGCTGAAGGTGTTTTGGGCATTTTCCACCCTTCCGCTGGCGGGACAGGGTGGCATTAGGGATTTCTCCTCGTCCTCTTGGTTAGTGGAAGATTGTTCCTCCTCTTCAGCCTCTGCTAGAGTTTGCAGGAGAATCCTGTCGGCCAGGGGTTCTATGTTGGTCCTTAAGAGGGAGCTTAGGAAATATAAGATTATAAAGTATCTCAAGAAATTTACTTGCTATCTAGGTCAAGAAGATCATAGTGACGAAGCCTCTCCTTTCCCTTGGTTGTTCGATAGTTAATTGCCAGACCTTTAATTTAAGCAGAGAATAAATTAATATAACGTAAAAATCGTCAGTTTAATGACCTTTCCCACCTGGCGGATAGTAGCGCAGGAAGATTTTGTTGGCACTCATTGCCGTTGCGAGGTTGCTGGGACTCTGAAACATTCCTTCACTCTCAGTTTGCTGACCTGCTTTAATTCCGCTTTTGTTGATTTCATATTGCTGCCATGCCAAAAGGCAACGTTTGATCGATTCACCTTGGGTTCGTTGCCTGTGAGAGGTCTATGTCGAGGTCCTCATGTCTCTTGGGAGACAGCTCAAGGATATAGGATTTCCTACATAAATAAAAGACTCTCTGTCCAAGACCTCTTTCATTTATTGTATAGTTGGTGGTAATGTTGGTTGGAGTTTGAATTGAACTAAATATTCGTGGTATTCTTTTCGAGGAAAAGCTTTTTGAACTAAAAGCTTTTAGTCGGGTTTTTGCCCTTAGTGAATCTTTATATATGTTGCGTAGAATTTATTTACGCTTGCCAATAAAGTGAATAATCTTATAAGTAGGCTAATCTTATATATCAGATCTGTTAAATCTTGAGTTCAGCATTTCATAACATCCTTGAACCGTTCTTTTTTTCTTTAAAAAATCTAAAGTATTAAATAATATTTATTATATAGGTAAGAAATTGTTTTATTCCCGTTCCGACATTAGTCCTTTCTTTTTACCATTTTCTGGAGCAATTTAAATAACGAACGACAGGCACATGACTAATTAACTTTTCTGGTAAACCAATTGAAGGACAGACAGCCGGCAACTACTCCCTGAACTCTGCCTCTAACCCTTGACCTACGATTGTCCTTTGGGGGAAACCCCTTTGGCATTTGACAGGCACCACCAGCTTCGTCCGACTAAATGGTCTCTGGCCATTAAACCTAATTAGCTTGTTTAAGATGGAACGGGTCGGACGGAGGACAGGACGCAGCAAGGACCTGACCCCAGAGGCCAATTGGCTGCCGACACCTGCTCGCATTTTTAGCAGATTTAACATATGTCCCCCACGGACCGACAGACACGCACTCACCACAGCCGCAGCCCAACTAACAACACCCACACCTGCAATTAGATTGTCTCACCTGGTTCCTTTCCTTGCCTTAGCCTTTCTGCCGCTTCCTCGTTTCGGCATTTTCACTAATTTAATTTGTTCGGTAATCGTTGGGCGACGATGGTCTGGGATGGCGGTAAGGAGAAGAGCGGGCAGCAGGATTGTCTGACAGCCGCAGGACGACAGTCCGTGGAGGAACTTGGAAGGTACGCCCCCATTAGCCAGGGGAGAAAAAAGACAAACAAGGGGACCGACTTTTGGGGAAGTGGGAGAGCATAGCCAATAATGATAAGTAATGATTAGATATTATCGCACCCAATTTTGTAGCACAGCAGCAGCGAAAGAACTGAAAGCGACAGCCAAGCGATGAACAAAAGGACAAAACCAAAATGGACAGGGCGGGGACACAGCGAGAAAGTCGTGGGCGTACACCGTGAAAAATATATTAGAAATTTATTAACTAAAATAAGAAATTAAGCTAACTTTGGCACACCGAAGCTTATAAATATTCGATTACTAGGAATTAATGGAATATAAATTATATATTTATGTTGAAAAACAATGAAGTAATGTCTGCTTTAATTTTTAAATCTAATATTTACAAATTTACATTCACAGTTTTGTATTTTTCTCTATTTTTAACGATCGTTTGTATGACAGCTATATGATATAGTCGTTCGCTTTTCATAAAATTTTACACAAAATTCTAGTTTAATATATAATAGTTATTGATAAATTTGATAAAAATCTGTTGAAAACTGTAAAGTTATAATTTTATTTCTTAAAATCTTTTAATCGTTCCTATGGCAGCTATATACATATATGTATGTATTTATATATAGTCCACCGATTCGCTATGTTTTGACTTATATACTAGTAAAATTATATAGACGAATAACTACATAGTTTATAATAGCTTGCCTTTAAATTTGACCAAAACAAATCTCGCACATCGGTGCATGTGCATATGATTCCCAACTTGTTCTAACATCCCCGGAACGAAGTGTCTTCTGCCGGCCAAGTCTCAGGAATGTGTTGTGTTACAAAAGTTGCAAGTCATTGGTTATTAGTGCTCAAAGACAGTAATTAATCATACATACTCACTGGTCATAGTCTTTTTCTGATTCTAGTTACTTACTTATCATAGATACTTACTGTTATAGTTAATTATTTATTCATAGTTACTTACTGGTCAAAGTTATTTACTGATCATAGTTCATTTACTGGTCATAGACGATTACTATTCAGAGTTAATTACTGGTTATAGATACTTCGTGTTTAAAGTTACTTACTGCTCATAGATACATACTTACTGATCATAGTTACTTTCTGGGTGCAGATACTTACTGTTGAGAGTTACTTACTGCTTACTGATCATAGTTACTTAATGTTCATTGATACTTACTGATCATCGTAACTTACTGTTGAAAGATATATAAACATTTAACAACCGTTTCTCTGGTATTCTCTAGTATTCCGATTTCCATAAAACTAAAAGAGAAGTTCTATAATATTAAAGATAGCTTTGAATCAAATTAGATAAATATATGTTAAAAACTGTAAAAGTAATAATATTTTTTCTAACAATTCCATCGTCTTGGACTTAATCACAATTTTTTAATTCCAAGTGAAGATGACAATTTTCAGGATTTTTCTTTTGCGTGTTAAGAGATGGAAACCTGTGTGGGTGTGGTCAAAGTGTGATAAGATGCCGGGAATCTCTCTCATTCTCTCTCTCTCTCTCTCTGTGTGTGTGTCTCTGTCAATAATAAAACATTTCATTGAATGTCCATTGAATGACGAGCATCAGCATGGGGGAAAATGACAACGGGAAAAGAAATCGGGAAATGGAGACGGGGTCTTTGACTGAGACTGAGACTGGGACTTGAAGCACCTGGTAGGTCATCCTCCTGCTCCACCTCCTCCTGCCAATCATCATTCCGGGGGAATGCTGTGCTGTGAACAAAAGCAACAGCTGTGCTCCATCTCCAATCCATCGCAATCTCTTCATTTGGATGGCCATGTAATTGGGGAGATGCCACAGGAAGCTTTAAGGGAATCAGAGCCAAATAAATGAGAGTACGAATGGAAATAAAATCAATTTAAAATCCCATAAAACGCTTTCCATAAACAAAAGGCCGATCCGGAGCATTTGAACGAGGCTTTGAATTTATGCTCAATAAATTTTTGTTGATTTCCGGCAGGCAGGCAGGCAGGCAGCTCATGGCTCATGGCTCCTGGTTTCTGCTTCACTCAAAATTCGAGTCCCGGGGATGAGCCATGAAAATTCGGCGTTGCATAAATTATAGACACACTCGCACACACCACACACACACTCGGAGATGATGATATATGCCAGCGCGTTACCTTTCACCAGTAAAGCCCCGAAAAGCATTGCCGCATTTTATGCGAGAGAGTTGGGTTCCCATTTTAGGGGAAAATTGTGCTTAAATGGCATAAACTTGAATCGACCACAGCAGCGCCTAAGCCTATATAATATAGTTGGGGGAATCCCCCTCCGAACATTGAGCGATATATAAACAGATTTTCGGTTTGTGTTTGACTAAGCGACATAAAATGCGAATTTTTGTTTTCCCCTTCGCCTGTCCTGCTCTGACCGCGCTTGTTTTATTTCTATATTCCCCCAATTTTTCTTGTTGTTGTTTCTGACATATTCGGGTTCCCTGGTTTTTGGCCTAAAAGGAATCGTTAGTGGCTCTCTAATTGGACGAGAGGGGACGGGACGGGACGGGACACATGGCCTGAATGGACATCAAACGTTTGGTAATCGAATTTCCGTGCGGCACTAAAAACATTTTCACAGATTTTCCACCGGCAGTCCCGGTAGCTGAACGGTCAGGGGAGTCTCGTCTCTAATTCAGGTTAAGCGTATAGAGAATGTTTTACATTTTTGTACTCTCTATTTCCCGGTGGGTTTTTACTGGAAAAATGCGATAAATCAAACACCAAATAGGCAGTAATTATTCTCCGATATTTGATGATTTGCATGGCTTAATTATAGTTGGGCTTATGTATTTATAAATTCATTTTATAAAGTAATGGTTTGTTTTTATAACACTCAATGTACCAGTTAATTTAATTGTAACAACAGAAATATAAATAGGAAAATGCTTTATTGATTCAGTAAGTGGGGGAACATTTAAAAGTGAATTGGGCAGAAAAGCATCATGAAAATATTAGTAATTATTTCGAATTAAAAACATAATAAAACCTCATTCTCGCTTTTTATACAATATTTAAGCTATCGTAACATCAGAATCAATACTCCTAATTCTATCAACACACATTCAACGATTTAAAGAATAATCTATTTATTAGAAACAGCTAAGCTCCCTCATAATACTGCCATGAAAACCCATAGAGATATATCTCTAACAATACTCTTAGACACATTTCCGTGTTTGTTGAGACACCAACATGTTGGTGAGTAAATAAACTGTCTGCCAAAATAAGAAAAAACCTGAATCTAAGCTCCAGTTTGTGCCAATCCTCTTGGCCTTTATGACGCATTCTGCGGCTTTGCCCATTGTAAAGTTTATGACTTTGATAAATTAAATTGTGCTTGTCCTAAAATATATACACAAAGCTATCCCTTCTGGTTTGAATATATTCGCAATTCGACCGGGGAAAGTTTATGACCCCGTCGGGGGAGACCTTAAACAGTTTATAGGTCCAATTGAAATGCAGACGCATCGAAATTTTATAAAATTTAATAATGGCCGGTACACAGCGTGCTCCTCTCTTTATGTTCCTGTTTTTGAAGTTTTAGAGATGTATGTTGTTGTGGAGAAGGAAGTTTTTGGCAGGCAGTTTGTGCGGTTTTAGCGGCCACATCAAGTATACGCACCATAAATCAGGGTCAGCGGCGGCAGAAGCTCCGCTTGTTGGCCCAAAATGACGTATTAAAGGCATTAAACTCGCTCTTAAATCGCCAGCAGGCCCGTTCCTCATAACGGTAAGTAGTGCTTAAAATGAATTATGCATTGCCCTTGGTTTTCCCCGATATATATT